CTACACCACATGTTCTTGTTGAAAAGTACTGTCTGACCCCACTGCTCCACTGAAACATTCATGCTTTACTGGACATGCACATGACATCATCTGTAGACAGTGGAGCTAATAACAAAAGGTAATAAAGATCAGATTGAAGATTTAAAAGTACTATTTGCAAACAAACATTGAGTTAATATAGCTATATTGTAAACATTTAACCTTTTGAGCATGTTAGCTCTTCAAACTCAGGTCTGAGTGTACATTGATACAAATTTCCTCAGCCTCTCTGTTAAACTTACAATATGAAGTTTTGTTAATTACAATTTAAGTACGAGCTTATGATTTCAGAATCATAAGAAATGATATCGACACGCAGAAAATGCATAGAGGTCAGACTGCTGCTAAGCAGTGATTTTGTCTGTAACTAGTCATAGTGAAAGCACTCATTTTAAACTGGCTTGCTAATGCAATATGGCAAGTTTGACAGTTAGATCAGTTGGTCTGATTAAGAAGATTTGCTTTCTTGGGCTCTGTGTTAGGGCATATTGATTACAAAGCAGGGAGTCATTATTCCTATCTAAGTAGTGATCTCTCCCTGGGTGCTCACTGATTAATTAATGACTGTTTACCTGAGCAGCCTTGTTTGAGCAGGCTTTGCACGTAGCATTGCTGGGAGTCACTATCAAATACTGGGTTTTGGCATCCCTGCCTTTAAAGAAACTGTATTATGAAATGACTTGATGTAGATTTTTAAAATTTGTCTTCAGTACAATATTTTCTCTTAACTATTGTCTCCTACTAGTGTTATGGCTAAGAATTTTAATCAGTTTGTGAATTTGCGGGTTTAGAGGATTTTGCATGAGGAGATCACGTTGTCTCTGCATGTACAATTTGGGATGGGTATGCAACAAGATTCAGACAAAGGGGTGAGAAAATAACATCTGATCCTGTTAAATGAAAAGCATTCTCTGTGTGATTTTAGTACTCTGCTCTAAGAGATACTTTCCAAGTCTGTGAGATCTGATGAGATCATGACATCATTAGGAAATGTACTGGTAGCAGATGAGATAGCATTAAAACGAGTTAATCCTTGTGACGGCACGAAGACTAAAAGAGATCCCTGCATAGGCAGGCTCTGTGGCAAATGAAGAATTCTTGGTGCAAGATGCATGTTGTTCATCATACGAATTCGTGTCAGGAAATGTTTTGGTATAACCATACAATGGGAAATGTTATCTTTTCTGTTTTGCCACTTTTGACAAACTTGTTGATGTTCTCAGGGGGGACATTTTTTTTTTCACAAGCTCTGCTAACAGCGTTGTGTGAGAAATCCCTTTATTGGTTTCAGCAGCACATAAGAGGAAGGCTTTTTTTCTTTCTTTCTTTCTTTCCTTTTTTTCTCAGTAGTAATGTTTTACTATTGAATGAAGTGTACCTAACCAAGGAAGACTTCTGTAATACTTCAGATCCCTTGAGTAATGAAACACGTGTTCTGGCTTAGGGAGGTGATAAGAGATGATGGGAGCTCTCTTTTAACTCAGAACAGGATAGAGGGGGGAAAAAAAATCATGAAGCCATTAGGGATGGCAAATCTGACCTGACAGAGCTGGATTTAGGCAGTGATCCTTACCCCCCTCCCTGCCATTTCACAGGACTGCAGTAGTTTGTAGGGAAAAATCCTGTTCCCTACATTCCCTACAAGCTCCTCCCATGAAGCACACTTGCTTGCAGTTCATGTTGGGAGGATTAAATTCATCCCATGCTAAATGTCTAACAGAGAGCTTATTTCCTCAGGCTGTGATCTCTTCCCTTCTCTCTGTTCTCTTTACCCTGCCAAGATAAAATCACCAAATCTGTGTATGTAATGATTTCAGCTTTAAAAAAGTGGTGGGGTTCTCACGTAGCTCTTCTCACTTGCTCCATTCCCAAGTGGCACAATGTGTGGCCATTCCTTGTCTGTTTCTCATATCCCTTTTTGAGATCCAAACAGCACTCTGCACAACTTTTATAGACCCAAAGGCATGTGGTTTTGATTTGACAGAGGATGGCAGAGTGCTCCATATTAGAGAGGACGTGGATGCTTGTTTTTGAATTTTGTTTGGTGCTTTTCAACTATATCTCCTGTTGTTTCCATATTGAATTTGGTTGTAAACTAAAATACTTTAGGTTTGGGTATGTTGATCCTTGAGCGGGAGCGACCCTGACTCATTTCCATCCTCTCCTTATCTGATGCAGATGAATCAGGTTTTTGTCTGTTTTTCAGGCAAGCTCTTTCTTATTGAGATGCATTAATTAGTTTGGGAGAAAACTGAGTCTTGTTGGTCCAAATTGATTTATATCAGCACCTCTTTTTTTTCTGAGGGCATGGAAGAACTGAATTGTGGTTATATGTAGTTATATATCCATGACCTTTATGGCTACTCCTCTTCATTACAGCACTAAGAACATGAATAATTAGTATTCACTACTAGGTAACTACGGTTAAGGTTGAGGAGGAATCTGTATCTTTAAATCACAGTGCTTAGTTGCTCATACCTATAAAATCAATACTCATCCTCCCCCACCCTCTGCAAGTCCTCCTACAGCACTCCCTATGCTGACCTTTTAAGGAGAACTTAGGAGAGCTCAGCCATTATAAAGTTATACAAAATATAAAGGAAAATGCTTTGTATCTTCTGGGTTACCTGATAGAATGCTAACTCTGAAAAGCCTGAATATCGCTGGTTTTGTGTTCTAATTTGGAAAGGAAAAAAAAAACGTAAAGAAAAGTAAATGGGATGTTCAGAACTTCAGAGCATACTGCAGTCATACATTCTCTGCATAGCTATTCAAATTTTCTTTTGGTTTCTTCTTCTGCCTCAACCCTTCCCAGGGTTCAAACAAGGCAGGAAGAGGTGGTTTTGAACAGCAGCACTTCTCCTAAAACATGGTCTTTCATTAAGTAATTGTAATAAAGTAACTCTCTAGCTGCTGTGCCTGTAAGACAGTCTTGAAAACATGACCCAAGTGTAACCTGGGCATAGATGCCTCCTTCAGCTTTCAAGGAGTCTGAAAAAATGGCTCAGAGAGACGTGAGACTCATCTCCACAGTGGTCTGTCTCGTGTGCCCTCTCTTTGGCAGGTGCACTTTGCCTACTCTCACTGCTCTGGCAGACAAGGCATGAGGCCGAGTGGTGTCTTCTGAAGGTGCAGTCATTTTCCTCTCAGTGTCAAGGAGTCTATTTACTCTGGGAAAGAAACCCTACCTGTTTTCTTCCCAATTAAAGTAAGATACGTTCTGAGAGGTCTGACGATCATATCTGTGCAGACAGACACCCATCCTGTAGCTGCAGGGCCTCACCGCAGGTGCCCAACAGGCCTTCAGCCTCTCCTGTTGGAAGCAGCAGCAGCTTAGGAGGAGAGAGAAGGAAACTCAAAACAGCCTTAAAAAATATTTAATGTTATCTGAAATACTGAAGTCTTGGAAAACAGTCTGTAGTTGGAACACTTCAAAACTGAGATACTCTGTGAATAAAATGTCTTACTGTTTCAGTAATCACCAGATCCAAATTCATTTGAGCTAAATTGTTGGCTATTTCGGGCAGCAGTAACTTCTGAATTCTGCAAGCTTTGAAGGATGCACGGGGACTAAGACAGAGGGTGGAAGGGAGGCAAGAGGCACGTGCAGCAAGATTTGAGTCCTCTCCATCCCCACTTCCCTCTGGGCAGGATGTGGCCATCCTGTGCATCTGCACGTGAGTCCCAGCCTCCAACCTCCTATCTCCTTGCCTGAGAGTCCAGAGTCCTAGAAGACTTCTGCTAGTCCTAGCTGAGAAGCTGATTTTTACATCCGTGTGCCAAAGCTGCTTGCTGCAAGGGCCTCTCCTGTATGGTGCTGGGGTGATGATTTTTCTGAAAACAAGATGCTATATGAAATATATGATGATTTGTTAAGGATGGAAAACCCTGGACCCCTTCACGTACTTTAGCGGTTGTTGCAAATGCTGTCTGTTAAAGGTAGCCAAGAATTAATGTAAAATGGAGGCTGGAAAGTAAGTGCTTGAAAATCAAGGGAATCCCCACACTGAGATTTCTGCTGGAACTTCCAGTTGGTTTCACTCCACATTTTCTATGTTTTCTTATTATTTAGTCTATATCCTGTGAGGTGTGTAGGAAGTGCAATGAAGCCAAGACAATATTGCTTTGGAAAATCCAGTGCATGTAATTTCCTGGCTTTTGGTTTTTTTTTTTTTAATTTTTATTATATTTTTTTTTTCAGCCATAGTAACACATTAATGCTGTTTTATATGTTTAATATAGAATTGGCCCGAATTTTCCCTATTTTTTTTTTTCAACTGCCGGTGCAGGGATTGCTTTTTGGGGAGCAGTGCAGTGAGCAGCACTGTGCCTGTGGTCGGGCTGCGGGTGGTGTGCTGCTGGCTGCTGTGCTGCTGTGGGAGAGGCGGCGGTGGGAGTTTGACTCTCAGAGCATCGCAGGCAAACGCGGCTTGGAACGCACTCAAGGAGGATGTTATTTTTTTTTTTCTCCCTTTCCAAACTTACTGGGAGCGCCCGGGGGTATAAAGCTTTTCATGTGTGTTTACAGGGCAGTACGTTCTCTCCAATATTTCTTTCCACTGCATTACTTCTTCAGCAGTTTTGGAGAGCGTTTAGAACTCGGTAAAAAGCAAGGCCAAGCACATTACCGCGGGTTAAATTAAAATTTATGACCTTTAGCAAGACGAAATTAATTTTTCCTGTGAGTGGAGCGAATTCAAAGGGACAGGAAAGGAAGGGAAGGCAGCCGGGCAGGAGCGGAGCACGACCCCGGGCTCCCCTCGGGGCGCTGCCGTCCGCCGGCCCACGGGCTGCTGTTGCCCACGGGAGCAAAGGCCCCGGCAGCGAGGGAACACGGGGCAGCGTTCCGGAGCGCGGCGGCTCCGCGTGGAGCCCGTTCCGCACGCTCGCTCCGCACGCGGGGCCGGGCGGCACGGGGCTCGGGCGCGCGCCGAGGCGGCCGCACGTCCGGCCGACGGCGGCCTCGGTGGTTCCCCGGGCGGCCGCGGAGCTTCCTGGTTCCCAGAGGGTGCCGGAGCCGCGGCAACAGGAACTGAGAGACGGGGGGAGGAGGCGGTGCCGCCGCTCCGTGCAGTCGCGGCCCGAGCCGGGGGAGCGGAGCAGCCATGGGCCGCCGCCCGCCGCAGCAGCGCCGCCGCCCTCCGTGCTAAGGCGGCCCGGGCCGCAGGGAGAGGGCCGTCTCCTCCCCGCCGGGCGCGGGGCTTCTCCCTCGGGGGACGCCGGAGCGGCCGCCCGGGCCCGCGATGTGACCATGGACAGCAGGTTCAAGTGAGTGGGGGCGGCGGCGGGGGGCTCGGCGCAGCGGGTAGGCCTCGCGGGCCGCCGGGCGGGGGGGGAGGAGGCGCGGGGCAGCCCACCCGGCTGCGCGCGAGGGGCCGGGCGCGGCGCGGCCGCTGAGTGACAGCCGGGCGGGAGGCGGCGGGGCCGGGAGCTGGGGGCGAGGGCAGCAGGGTTGAGTGGCGGCGGCCCCGCTCCTGCCCCCGGCTCGCCCCGCCGCGGCCGCCGAAGGGAAGCGGCTCCGGGACGGGCGGGCGGCAGCCGGGGGCGGGTCGTGCCCTCGGGAGCCGCCCGCCGCGAGCGGCCGTGGAACGGTGGTGGTGCGGCGTGCCGCTGTACGGGCACAAAGGCCCCGCGCGCTGCCCGAGATCGATGCGCTCTGCGGCTTCGGCCTTTGTGCCGGCGCTGCGCTGCCGCAGGTGTGTGCGGCGGGCGAGAAACGGGCACGGGCCACCGTGCTGCCTCTCCGCTCCCTGCGCTGGAGCCGTCCCTTCACTAAGCGGGAGCTGAGAGATGTTACACGCGCATTCACGAACTGACAACAATCTGGATGCGGGGGGATGACGAATGAGTGGGCACAGAGTAGTAGCGGGGAAGGAAACGGCAGTCTGACAATTCTCAGATTACTCTAACACATTTTTGACACTTCTGAGCATAGTGGGATGTGAAGAGTAAACTTAGCAGTGGCTTTCTGGGGAGGCTGAGATGGTGTGGATGAGATGCTGCTGCATCCCTCGGTCTGCGCTTTGCGTGGTGGTGCTGCCCTGCCTCCTGCACCTGGCATGCTGTGGTGGGGCTGCCTGGAAACAAGGCAGGGGTAAATGACCTTAGCTTGGGAAACGTCACTTCTCCTAAAGGAAGGGTCTTGTGTCTGCTTTTCCAGACAGCCAGGCCTCATCAGTTCCACCGCAAACCTGCAGGGACAAAAGCTGGCTGTAGTACTGGAATACAGTGTTGAGATCCTGGGCTTGCGTTTCTGTAGCTCAGTGCAGGATCTGTCTGCATGATTTTCTCAACTAAATGCTTTAAAAAATGACACAAGTCTATAGGCAGGTTATGTTTCTCTAACCTCAGTTAGACTCTGACTGCGTATCCTAGTTGATGATGGTACTGAGGTCAGTAAAAGCGTGGCCTGAATCCATTAATTTGTGACAGCTGAGGTTTCCCCTCTAATCCTGAATTTCAGTCAGAACTCCCTTTAAAGAAACAACAGGGTATTAATTCACTGCACCCTTCAGTTTCAGTTCCAGAAACCTAGGCCCAAATTCTGTTTTTTTCACCTACCTCCAACCCTAGCTGACTTCAGTAGGGCATTACTCATGGAGGGAACTCAAGTGTGAGCTTTTAATGTGGTCAAATAGCTAATTGATATGGGTGCGGTTATACCACTTGTTTTTAATATAAATAGCAGTGCGCTGGGTAGAGAGAGAGCTCGATAGTACGGTCACGGCAGTTTGAGCTATTCCAATAACTGCTTGGTTTGGGATTAGGTTGGGCGTTCCTTGCAATTAGCGCTGCAGTTGTTACTGTCGGGTGTGTGCTGCTGCAAGGCGTTGGTGTGCGGGTGGGTGGCTGCTGCAGGGGTGGCTGGGGGATTAAGTGTGGTATGATGGAAACTCCAAAAAACCGTCTTGATGTATAAGGCAGTGGCATTATCATTAGACAAGCTAATCAGTATGTTTATCTTCCTTATGTTTGTTTTTTTTTCTTTTTTTAAGGCTGTACATGGCAGCATAGCTTGTTATTTCTAACCAATGCGGTTTCTAATTTTATTGACTTTTAATTTATTTTAATGTTTCCTGGAAAATTGAATAGAAAAAATGTAACGCTGTATGTGTGGTAACTGTTGAGTTACCTGAACTACTGACTGAGCACCTGGGGAAAGGACCCAGTCAGCCCTGGGAGCACAGGTGAAGGTAATTCACCTACGTGACTGGAGGGGGTGGAGCCTGGATGCACCCCTCTTAGAGTTCATTTAAGGGCTGACTGTCACTGGGGAAGGATCTCTGGTTGGAGGTCCTTCTCTTGTGGAGTTTTCCTTTGTGGCGCTCAATCTTTAAAGATGGGTGAGCAGTCCTTTCTTCTTTCCTTGTAACAGCTTCTTATTGTATTAGTCCCTTTGGCATTGAGCCTCTTGTATCACCTTTCCACCTTGTTGATCTTTCTGATTGCTATGCTGTGGAAAATGATTTATGTTGCCTGGAACAGCTATGTGAGTAATTGTTTGCTTTTTCTAGGGAGAATCCAGAACGTACCTTTGATTTGGTACTGAAGGTGAAATGCCAAGCATCTGAAAATGAAGGTAATAATGTACTGTGTTTGCCGATATCATAGAAATGAGATGGAAAAGGCTCATTTGTTTTTTTTCTCCAGTTATATTTAATGTTATGAAATGCTTTTGCTTTTGGATTGTGTTAGAAAATGACTGTGGTTGCCTTATTATTTTTTAAATCTACTAATATGTTAACTTAGTGCTGTCATCTTTTTATTGTTGTACGATCACTTTTGGTTGTCTGGTAGTAAAGCACTTTCATTCTGAGGGATTAACTTGCGAAACTTGGGCTCAAAGTGGAAATGGTACAGTTATTAAGGAAATGTGGATTTTATGACTTCATTTTATCAGAGAAATTGACCCCTGCCTGTCAGTGGACTGTTCATTTAGTCAGAGCTGTACTAGGAAGTAAGTTTTCTCTGGGATAACAGGAATAAACCTTTTCTGTAGCTTGCATTTGATAGATGCTTTGGCACAATACATGATGTAAGCAGCAGTGAGTTCTGACATGTGCTCATGTTAGCCACTGGTTTTGCATCTCTGCAGGTGTGCGGTGAGGAGCTCTTGTACTGTGGGATTTATCTGAGGGAAGCATTTTGCATCTCCTCTAAAGAGCTTGCTTGTGCTGAAATGGAAGTGACCTCTGTAACTTGCTTTGGGGGAATTCTGTTCATGTTATCGTCCAAGGTTGTTGGCCTTTTGGAAACACAGGGAGAGAAGTCTTGTTGGGGTCATGCTGTAGTCCTGTTAGCCTGTGACAGTTGTGTCTTAATCATGTTTGTAAGTACAATCAATTACACTTTCAAATTCCGTGTATTTATTATCCTGCTATGCTAATGGATGCTTTTTCCGGAGTTCACTACACTGAGTTAGAAGCCAACAGAAGCCCTTACATACTACACTTACATAACACCAAGCTACTCCTTTTTCCTTCTTCCTTCAAGCCAGCATTTCCATTAGTGGTGTAAAGGATACCTGCCTAATATGTCTATGAAGAATGTTTCTGTTGAAGCAAAACAGTTGGGGCTGTTTAGTTCTTTTCCTGGCAGTCCCAACAGGCTTTTCTGTACCTGCTGGATTGTATACTATCCATTATTGTTGTCTCAAGTTTCTCTGCTCTTTCCTCATAATACTGTTCTCATTCAGTTGTGGAATAACATTTCTGTCCTGCTGCAACCCTCAGTTATTTCCACATTTTTATGGTCAGTGACATCCTTCTGCTTATTGCCCGCCTCACTGATTTGCTGTTGGCACATCCATGGTTTGGGGGAGTTAAGTTGGCCTCCTTAGCTTGGATCATTCCTGTGTTGTGTTTTGTATCATGGTGTATGTCATCTTCCGCTTGCTTCCTTTTGTAATTTTTTATCTTGCTAAGTTCACAGGTTGCTTCTAGTCCCCATCTAGTACCCGTAGCAACACTGCTTCTTGCAGAGCGCCTTTAGCTGACATCCTTTCTTGGAGTCTCACTCAGGCTCAGTCTCTTCCTGAAGTTTTTTTTTTTTACTTGTCTTTTGCCCTTTCCTTCCTGAGAACCAATAACCCTCTGCCTCAACTGCTGTGTGGAACTGCCTTCTATTACTTGTGAGCTCTGGGTTGGATTGGTCCTCCTGTCTGCCCAGGCAAGCATGGTGTATTGGTTGTGGGCTGCCCTTCATGGAACAGCTTGGGCCTGCATGTGGCCATGAGCTGATCTGGCTTGGGGCTGCCTTTGTGGTTGTGAGTGGGTGCTTCATCTCTTACTCCACCTCTGATCACCATTCTCACAGCTCTGCTGGTTACTTGTGTTGGGGGGGTGGGGAGGGGTGGCGGCACAAGGAGGGATGCCAGCAACATCTGAGTCTGCGCTGTGTGACCAGAGAGAGGTTTGTAGGATTTCAGCAGCCTGGAGGTTGTATGGGTTCTTGTAAGAGTCCTCTGATGAGGACCTATGTGTGGTTTCTTTTTGCCAACCAGACCATGCTGGTGGAATGTTCTGGTTACCATTCTCGTGTACTTGGTGAGCCATGTGGAATTCTTAATTTATTTCACTTTATATCTAGTTCAGATAATGAACTTCCCAGTGAAGGCCTGACGTTACATTTACATGAGGTAGTGCAAGCACACTAATGTATGAAATCAATATATCCTAATGTTTTAACTGTTGAAGGGGATAGTGTAAGGGATACAAATGTTTTGTCTGCACTGCCCCTTCGGAAGCAAAGCACGAGGCTTGGTCATGCTAAACAGGGAGCTTTCAGCGCTGGTTTATTAGACGGCCTTACAAATTTGACAGTTACCCTGCATTGTAGGTCTTGCCTTTAAATAGATTTTCATGCTAGGATAATCTTTTGAATATATCATACTTGAAGACGTGATCCAGTCACCTGTTTCTTTGCTCGAGCCTTTATGTCTTATGAAAGAGATTTGTGTTTAAATAGGGGCTTTCTCCCTCGCATCCCATCTGCTCTTGTGCTTGATCCTGGAGCTATGTCAGGGCTGAGTTTGCGACATCACTGTCATCAGTGTTGCCGTGGAAATATTACAGCCATAAAATGATGATCTCTCCACATGAGCGAGCAGCAGGAGAAGCCGACTTAGTGGAGGGGAAGACCTTAACATGACCTATGTATCTTTGAGCCTTTTCTGTTCCAGCTTTGCTGTAATATGCATTCTCCTGAATTTTAATTTCCCTTTGCCAGCCTATAACTATTCTAACAAATAAAAATGGTGGTAGCTCTCCTGACTGTGAAGCTGTTAATAAGATGATGTTTTTATTAGCATGCAGTATGCCAGTGTTAATTGACACAGGGAAGAATTTTCTGGTTAAAATTAGTATGCTCTTTGGAAGAGTAATTTTAGGTAACTTCTTAATTAAAGCGGAGCTCTCAAAGAATGCTAATTTTTCCAGATCTGACAATGTCCCAGGGCTCTTCCTGCTCTAAAGGATCTTGCATACATGAAATGTAGCAGTGTTTATTTTTACTATGAAATGTGATCTTAAATCACTCCACTAATGATTTACTGCACTTTCTACTTGGTGTAGATGTTTAGACCTTGGATGTAGGTTAATATAAATGTATCTCTCCACATATGGCATGTAGCTATTGGCTAAAGGCTTAATGGTGCTACTGTGGCATTAGTTACAGTATTTCGGTGTCGGTTATCTGTTTTCTGCTGTGTAGGAGTTACTTAGTTGAGTATATATTTCTCAGTACCATGTTGTTGACTGAGCAGAAGATGCTTTGGGGCTGCTCTCTCTTGCTCTGCCTCTTTATGCTGTGGGAGAACACAATAATATTGCTAGACTTGAATGATTTTACTAGTTCTAAGCTTTTCTCATTTGTGGAGCTGTGGATAAGAGAGGGCTTCTTAAATATGCATTCCTGTGACTGAGGGCTACACTAAACTAGTAGTGTGGGTTTTGCTGTTGTTATAACCTTTGTTCTTTGCTTGTGTTACAGTAAAAAGGTAAGTTTATTAGGAGAGCTTAATGCTTTCTGCTCGCACGAAGCAGAACATGGTTCCCTTACCAGCTCAGGAGGTGGTGCTTACTCTATTTTCACTTTTGATATTACTCTGCTTCTAAGTATCTTCAAAGTTGCGTTTCAGCATAATGGTGAAGCATGTATTCCAAGGGGGGGAAATTAGACTTTGAGAAAGTCACATTGTAGCTCATGTCAAAGCTGCTAGTCCTCTGCAGCCTGGCCAGAATTGTAATCCTCAATTCAGGGCGTGTTGAAACATAGTAACTGAGCAGCCTGGCTTCTTTAGGGAATGCTTAAGGCAGCTCAGGGAGAAGTCAGGAGTGAGCTGAGCTCGGCTCCCCGTGCTTTGCTGTGTGGCAGGGAGGTGAGCTGCTCTAACAGCCCACTGCTTCAGCCACAGCTCTGGCCTGCAGTATCGGTAGTGCCGTACAGCAGAAGGTTGGATGTGGTCTCCCAGGCATCTGCAAGTTTTCATTAATGCTTTTCTTTGGGGGAACAACAAGCAAAATAACAGGTACAATATCTGCGTGTTCTAACATCAGCAGTTGGCCTTCTGTGTTAAACTGTGTCTGACAGAGCCTAAGGACCACTTGGAAGCAGATATAGAAACTAGAGTGCTTTAAGATTAGCATTGCTCTCTCTAGGCTGGGGAAAGAATTTACATGATCTTTGCTCTTTGGACTGAATGGTACTTCCTAAAAATCAGAAGTAATGCACTCTCATAGTTCTCTGGAGTGCATAGGCACGTGTGAGGCTGTTGGTCCATGATAGTACAGCAGCTGCACATAAAGCAGGATCATTCTGTAGCTGCCCTGTCTCTTTGAAGTGTTTTACTGCACCTGAGCTTAGGCATTGGCTAACCAAAGCAGCCTGCAGCTTTTTTTCTTTTATCATTACATTTTTAGTACGTGCCCTTCCGTAGTGGGAAGTAAATAACTTCTGGGAAATGGATGTTTCAGAGTTCTTTATATGGAATGTGCCCAGAGTAATAATTCCAGTGTTATATTTTGAATATTGCATCTTTATGCATATATAAGCATATGAATGTATATGCATGTGTACAACTGAAATTTTATTTTGGTTAAATATATATAAAGAGAAGTTTAGAGTTTAGAGTTGATAATACTACTAATTTTATACTCTCTACTGATTTAGTTGAAGCTGGCTTGCAGAAGCCCAACACAGACAATGCAAGTGGCACCTAGAAGTAGAAAGATGGCTCTAAGCAACAGTTGCTCTGAACAGAAAATTTTCTGCATTTTTGTCCATGGCTTCCCAAGAAGGAGTGACTCAAACTGGTTTTGGTTTATGTGGTTAAGAGCACAGTTTGCTGCACCATTTTCTTCAATTATAGCACGTACGCAAAGCAACAGAATTCTAGGCTTGAAAAGGCTCTGCTGAGAATGTGCTGTTAAGATTCAGGGAATTAAGGCACTGACGGTCTCAGTCTGAGTCCAGACTCTTTAGACCTGACTGAAGATGTTCAAATATTACTTGAAAACCATTTAGAAATAGTGGTTTGTTTTCTGTTAAACCTCGTTTGAACAAGGTTTGAAATTTGATTGC